AAAAAAAAAAAAAGGCTGGTAAGGTTTTCTGTACCTTCATGCATATAGCAGGTGTACAATGCATTGAAGAGGAGTTGGTACAACTCCCACACTGCTCTGTTCATTGGTGCCATCCTCTGACTATTTAGCAGATGAGGATGAAGACTGCTCCTCTGAATTATAAATCATCTGGAAAACAGCAAGCCCCTCAGGGCTCCAAGGTGAGCACATTCTGGGAAGCTCATCAACTGGTTCCTAAAACATCATCTCAATTCACAGGATTTGAAGTCTTAAATACGTCTACCAAGATACACGACGCGGCAAAGTCTCCTTACAGAAATGGGCCTCAGGAGTCCTCAGCCCAGTGGGTGGAGTGGAGTGTGCAGAGTTTACAGGAGCTTATTCACAGGAAATGAATGATTTGGGTCACCAAGGAACTCGGTTCAAGGAGGTAGTCTGCCCCACCTGACACCACCATACCAGAGGGTTTCTAATTACTGGAAGGGTTTCAACAAGCCAAAATTTCTGTCCTGATTTCTTGTGCTTAGATAATTTCTTTTTACAATCCCATCTGTCTTGCTCTGTGCTATCAGTCTTCCTAGAAGTAGAACAAGCCCATACTAGGGAGAAATGTGAATGGTGTGCTTCATTTCTCAAAGTCTCACTGTGCAGCCTCTGGGAACTTCCCAGTCCTTAAAAGGCAGGGTGGAAAAACTTTTGGAAAAAATGGAACTTCTTGGGAATTTCATGAGGTTCTGACTTCCTTCTCTTGCTGCTGTACCACAGCCAAGCTTTAAATCATATCTGTTCCATGTGGCTGACAAGAAACACTTTCTTAAGCGTGAGCAAATATGAGGAAGATGTGCTGTGAATGTTCCAAGAACCACCTTCCAGTTGCAATCATGGTAGTTGCTTGTATTCAACCTTCCAAGACCCAGGGCAGCTTTCCCAGCAAAGCAGACCTGAGCAGAGCTAGCTACTCCAGCAGGTTCCTGGCTCCATGCTACCGGAATGGTGACGTGGAATGTCAACACATCACATAGAGTTTCACGTTCTACATACGTGACTCATGTCACCCTGTACACAGGCTCTAGAGCCCTGCCCAGCCAGAGCAGGAAACTGCAGCGAAGCTTCCGCAAGACTCCCTTGTCTTTCTGCTAGGTATGAATCGATAGTTTGCAGAGGTCCTCCCTGGACATGGGACAGGTAAAAAGAACTATGTATAAAGCAGAGGGGAGTCAGGGGTTTTAATTTGATTTTTTTCAGATGGCTGAGGATAGTGACCTTTTAAGAATGTCCAACAGAAGAGAGGTGCCCTAAGTTTGGTCTTGCAGCATGCTCCACTTTTAGACCACTAGAAGTACGAGAGTAATTATGCCCAGAGCAAAGACAAACTTCCAGGTCTGGAGAGATTTAGCTCCTTTCTCCAAATTCCAACCTGATGGATGGATTGTGCCTAAGTAATTCTTAAGGACAGTAAATGTGTAACTTGGTCAGAGGGGAAGGGAGGGCAAAAATGAAACTAGGTAAAATCAGGGGGAAATTGTGTGTCTTGGTGTGAAAATAACTTTCAAACAAGAAAGCTGGAGTTCACCAGACAGACCTATGCTATATACCAGAGGGATACAAAGACAAGTGTACCCAAATGTACTTCTAATAAATCTTCTAGTCAACATAGGAACATCAACACAGCAAATCCAACTATAGTACACAACCTGTTGCATCTGATTCACTTTAGTTCTCTGGATATCCAGACTTAGAAGCCTCTCTTCCTGTTTTAGGTGTAAGGTAACTCAATTTAGTTTCCTAGACTCATGGCAACATCAAATATTAAGGCTGAGGGGGAATTAAAGCTGTTCCACTCTAATTCTCTTATTATAAGATGAGGGGACTGTATGGCTTGTCCAACATACACAGCTAGTCTGTGGCAAGACCAAAAGTGGAACTTGAGTTTTGTTACTCCTAACAAAGTGTCTTCTAGCCTTTGCTATATTTCTGATGTCTTTTTTTTTTTTCTTTTAAGACAGAGTCTCACTTTATTGCCCTTGGTAGAGTGCCATGGTGTCACAGCTCGCAGCAACCTCCAACTCCTGGGCTAAGGCAATCCTCTTGCCTGAGCCTCCCAAGTAGCTGGGACTACAGGCACCCACCACAACTCCCGGCTATTTTTTGTTGCAGTTTGGCCAGAGCTAGGTTTGAACCCTGTACCCTCAGTATATGGGGCCAGTGTCCTACCCATTGAGCCATAGGCGCTGCCCATTCCTGATGTCTTTTGAAGTAAAAAATAATATTATTGAAGTAAAAAAATAATCTTTCCAGTGTTAGAGATTACAGTGAGCTATGTTGATGCCATTCTATTCCAGCCTGGGGACAGAGAGAGCGATCATCTCTAAAAAAAATGAATAAAAAATAAAATTTAAAAAATAGAAGAAAAATATACTTGATATGCAGCCTGGTCTCAGGTCTTTTAGGGCAAAGGTTTAACATATTTAGGTTATTCACCACTAGAGGGCACTCAGATTTCCCCAGTTAATTTACAGAGACATTTAAATACCGCCTGCAAATGATTTCTACCAAGAGACTGAGCTTTCTTACCATTTAAGATGTAAATGACCATTTCTCCAGAATATTAAGCTGATGTAACATATGTACCTACACATACATGTAGGTATACACTTAAAATTTTGTTACAATTTATATATATTTGTCATATTCTAAGCATTATATGTATGCATATATATATAAATAAACATGCCTTGTAATTAATGTCACTATTTTATATTCAAGGCTGATGTGTCCTCAAAAGACTCCCTTATTTATTGCTATCAAGCAGTAGGCAAATTTTTTTTCTTTTTTTGAGACAGTCTCAATCTGTTGCCCAGCTTAGTTGCCATAGCCTCAGCCTAGCTCATAGCAACCTCAGACTCTAGACTAAAGCTATCCTCCTGCCTCAGCCTCCTGAGTAGCTGGGACTACAGGCACCAGTCACTATAACGCTGAGGCAGGCTTTTGAAGTAAAAAATTAACTTAAAAGTGAACTTTCCTCTTGCACAGTCACACAAAGCCTTGAGGGCTCTGACTAAAAACCTCTAGAGCTGCAGTATTCTAAGTAAATCATGCTTGTTTGAGTGGTTGCAGATACAGTGTTTTAAAAGAGAGAAAGAAAAGAAAAGGAGGGCTTGCTCCCCTGCGAAAGGAAATGAATACAAACCAAGCCATTTTTCTTGCCCTCCAGCTTAGCAAGCCCAAAGGCCCTGCTCTGGTCCTGTGGAAGTCCCACAGATTTCCCTGGAGCCCTGCTGATCCAGTCTCTCTGAGAGGACCAAGCACTTTTTGGCTGTGTCATTTAAATTTTAGAAAAAGCCTATTCCATATCCTTAAAAGAAGTTAAATTATTAATAATATAATAGTTATTATTAACTTATGGTCATAGCATTCATTGTTACGTCTGGGGAAAAAAAAAGACTTTTAAGAATTGTCTTTAAAAAAGTGTAGCAGGGAAGAAAGAGGGGTCTGTAAAACACCAGCACCTCTGGCTGTCTTGTCGTACTTGGTGACTGACATTCGGATGTGCTGAAAAGTTTTCCTGCCCCATGGCACTTACCTGGCTAGGACTACACTGTGTTCTGCTGTGTACTGTGGAAAACAGTATTGGAAAAGGATACATCTAATTCACTCTGGAAAAGAGAAGAAGAGTACAGGGTGAGAACGAGACACCGGGACATGATGCTTTCAGCTGAGTCAATGACTGCTCTGGCCTCCGCGTGGAAGCAGGTAGGGGAGGCTGAGCTATGGGTGTGGACGCCTGAGAGGTGGAAGGCCTGCAGTTTGGGATTGTTAAGTTTTTAAAAAGTAGGCTACAGTTCAGAGGAATTTTATAGGCCAGAACAATCATCTTTAGAAAGCAGAGGGAAAAACTAGCTTAACCTTCACAGATGGTAGGAAACTGGTTACATACACCAGGAACCTTAACAGTGTGCCACACCCTTTGAATCTGTGTATTTTACTTCACAAGTTTATCCTGAGGAAATAAGTAGACAATGGCACAATGACGTCGTGGGACAGGGTGTTCAAGGTAATGTGTATAATAGCATTGTTATTATTTTATTATTATTATTTTGAGACAAGAGTCTTGCTCCATTGCCCTGAGTTAGTGCCGTGGCATCATAGCTCACAGCAACCTCAGACTCCTGGCCTCAAGTGATCCTCTTGCCTCAGCCTCCCAAGTAGCTGGGACTACAGGTGCCTGCCACAATGCCCAGCTAGTTTTGCAATTTTTAGCAGAGATGGGGGTCTAACTCTTCCTTAGACTAGTCTTAAACTTCTGAGCTCAGGGGATCCTCCTGCCTCAGCCTCCCAGAGTGGTAGGAATTTAGGTGTGAGCCATCGCACTTGGCCTATGATAGCAAATTATTGATAAAAATCTAAGCCTCGGCTCGGCACCTGTGGCTCAAGCGGCTAAGGCGCCAGCCACATACACCTAAGGTGGCGGGTTCGAATCCCCAGCCCAGGCCCACCAAACAACAATGATGGCTGCAACCAAAAAATGGCCAGGCATTGTGGCGGGCGCCTGTGGTCCCAGCTGCTTGGGAGGCTGAGGCAGGAGACTCGCTTGAGCCCAGGAGTTGGAGGTTGCTGTGGAGCGTGATGCCATGGCACTCTACCCAGGGGGATAGCTTGAGGCTCTGTCTAAAAAAAAAAAAAAAATCTAAGCCTCTATCATGGGGAGAATTAGGTAAGTAAACTGTAGCATATCCACAAATAATGATGTGGACATGTAGATACTGACATACTATTAAGTAGAAAAGCAGATTATAAAATGATATAGAGAGTATTATCCTATGTGCATATACATGATATATACATATGTATAGTTATATAGATATAGACACATATATAAAGTTTGAAAGGAAATCTACTTAACAGCAGTTATCAATAAATGATAGGCCTCCTCTTTCCTCCCTCTCCCCCCTCCTTCTCTTTCTCCTCTTCGCTCTCTCCTCCTTATGGCTGGTCTGCAGCCTCCCTCCCCCACCAATAAAGAAAGACCTTTCGTATAAGCCTTGGTGGTCTGTGAGATCTCTGCCGGTCGAGTGCTGCCCTTTCATCTGGTGTCAGAAGTGGGATTTAATTAGGGACCGCTCCTAAGGGTCGCTTCCACCCCTTCCATGGGGTTTTAGCTCCTGGGGGCTCCCTATCATCTTTTCTCATTTCCAGCACTAACCACCACATTGGCTTGTGTCCATCCGCGAAGGTGTCTATCCAGCACTCAGCACTGGCCTCATCCAGACTCACTGTCTCAACAGCTAACTACTCAACTGGTGCTTCAAACCTACACCCCAAATACAATTCCCAGCCTACAGAAAGAAGAAACTGTTCTTTGTGAATGGACTGCACTCTACTCCAGGCCACAAGACCTTCCTAAACACCACTTCTAAACTGCCACCACTAAAAGGGCAATCTGAGAGCAAAACTTACATACTCCCAGCAAAAAGTCATAATTGTCCTCTAGTTGGCCAGTTAAAACTACATGCCCCTCCCAGCAGGAAGAAGCTACAGAAGAGAGAACTCAAGTCCCCTATCCCAAGGCCAGCCCCCTATTTTTAACATACGAAGAAGGGAGGAATGTTGGGTAATTGCCTCAGAAAAGCCCCTTCCTGCTTTAAACAGACCAACACTAGCAGTCTCACTCTCAAAGTTACAGCTCCTTTCCAAGCACAGGGAGTTGCCCTCTAAACAACAGGGAGTGGCCCACTTATCTCATCTCCCTGTCCCAATTACCCATTGAAAATTTCAAACTTATGGCCTGCCCCTAACGGCTCTTCCTGCCAGAGCAGTAACTCCTTATTGGCTATCCCTAGCATCCCATCATCATTTTAAGACTTCCCTAACCAAACCTATATTCGGGTACACTTCTCTTTTGATCTTCTCTCTTCTCTCCTTTCTCTTCCTCTCTCCTCTCTGCTCTCTCTTCCCTCTCTCCTCCCTCTCCTTCTCTCTCT